ATGGGTATTTGTGTATTTTCTTTTTTTTTAAATTAATTTATTTTTGGCTGTGCTGGGTCTTCATTGCTGCGCTTGGGCTTTCTCTAGTTGGTGGCGCTCGGGCTTTCTCTAGTTGCAGCGAGCAGGGACAACTCTTCGTTGTGGTGCGCAGGCTTCTCATTGTGGTGGCTTCTCTTGTTGTGGAGCACGCACTCTAGGTGCGCGGGCTCAGCAGTTGTGTCTTGTGGGCTCTAGAGCACAGGCTCAGTAGTTGTGGTGCATGGGCTTAGTTGCTCCGTGGCATGTGGGGTCCTCCTGGACCAGGGCTCAAACCCGTGTCCCCTGCATTGGTAGGCGGACTCTTAACCACTGCGCCGCCAGGGAGTCCCTATTTGTGTATTTTTCTTGATCTAGGATCCAGTTAGTGTTTATGCATAGCATTTGGTTGTTTAATCTCTTTAGTCTCTCTCAATTCAGAATGATCTTGTTTTTCATAACACCGAATTTTTTGAAGAGTCCAGGACAGCTGTCTTACAGAATGCCTCACATTCTAGATTTGTAATTGTTCGTGATTCAATTCAGATTAAACAGTTTGAAGAAGAATAACTGTGGGTGATGTTTTAAGTTTATTGCATCACATCAGGAGATACATATTGTCAGCTTGTTAAACTGTTAGTGATGCTAAGCTTGATCATTTGATTAAGGTAGTGATTACTGCATCTCTTCACTGTAAACATACATTTTCTCCTTTGGAATTAATAAGTCATCTGTGAAATGATATTTTGAGGCATTGTGAATATTTTCTTCCCCACTGTTTACCTAAAAGCATCTGTTTTAGATAATCAATAATTATCAATCATAATCAATAATTATCAATCATAATCAATAATTATAATTGAAGTTTAACACAACTTCTTGAGTGTAAACAGAGTATAAACACTAACTGTTTATACTGTTCATTTATTCATTCCACAGGTGTTTATTGAATAGGTACCACATCAGGTTCTGTGGGAATCACATGGTGAACACAGTCTAGTGGGTGTCTTTGTGGTGTCTACAGTCTGGTGGGAGAGATTGACATTAATCAAATAATCACACCAATGTATGTTTATAGATTGTGATAATTATTATAAAAGGAAAAGTGGAGGTGCTGTGAGAGATTATAAGGGGAGATCACTTTTTTTAGGGGTTCAGGGAAGACTTCTTGTCTTTTTTTTGAGCTAAGAGCTAAAAGATGCAGAGTTATTTTGGCAAGGAGGGGGAGACAGATAAAAGGTCTTGAAGAGGAAAAGGGCATGGTACATTGAAGAAATGTATATTCAAGTAGTGTTCCAGCACCAAGCATAGTGTCTACACATAATAGGTGCTCAATAAATATTAGTGGAAGGGAGGATGGGGCTGAAAACTAGCCTGTGTAATCACTGTTGTTAGGTTATTTATTTTATAATAAAATGATCAACTCCAAGGCTTAAAAACTTAAATAATTGCTTATGAAGCACTTATCATGTGCCAGGCACTGTTTTAAATGTGTTACCTATGTCAATTTATTTATTTAATCTTTTGGTATGTACTATTATTACTCAGTTTTATAGATGAAAATTAAGTCTCATGTAAATTGATTAACTTCCCCAAAGTCATATAGTTAGTAAGTGAGTTAGGAACTAGGATTAGAACTTGGACAGTCGAGTCCTAGAGTTCATGTTCTTATCCATTATGCTATAGTACTTCCCATTGCTTAAAGTATAAACAATATCTTTCTCAGACTGGCATTCCAGGGCTTCCATAATATGATGCCTGTCTGTGTTTCCAGCTGTGTCCTGCTGTTACCCATGTAAATAAATCCTTGCTCCAATTTCACTGATCCCTCAATAATTGCCCATTCCTAGATCACTCCTTGCATGTCTCTCCCTGTTTGAAATTTCACTTCTGCATCTTCCTCTCTGGGGTATCTGTTAAAATTTTATCTGTCCTTCCAGACTCAGCTCAAATCCATAAATATTGCCTTTCTTGACCATCCAGACTTGTGATCTGGTCCATTTCTTGAACTTTTAAAATATTTATTTTATTTATTTATTTAGCTGCACGGGTCTTAGTTGTGGCACGAGGGATCTTTAGCTGTGGCATGCAGACTCTTAGTTGCGGCATGTGGGATCTAGTTCCCTGACCGAGAATCGAACCCGGGCCCCCTGCATTGAGAGTGTGGAGTCTTAGCCACTGGACCACCAGGGAAATTCCCATTTCTTGAACTTTTACAGTACTTATTCAGGTACACTTATCTGTTAATTTTATCTGACAGATTAATCACATAGTACCTGTGTCTCTTGTGCTGTGTTATTAAAATCATTTATTATTATTTAAATTTTCTTATTTAGCATTGTTTACCATTAAGTAAATGTTAAGATTCTTGATGTTAGGGATGATATCTGAGACTTCAGTTGATCCCAGTACCCTGCATACAGTAGATGCACTATAAATATGTTGATCTGAGTGTTTGTTTACTAATATTTTACATATAATGACCATGAAATGCTAACTATTGTAGGTATATATTAAATATGCTAGATTGTGTGTTGTGAGAAATTTTATTCATCTCTTTGCATTGGACAGTCTAAATATGCAGTCTTTATTAAAAATGGCATGTATATGAAAGTTTTTTGAACTGTAAGTCATTAGACACAAAAGACAGATTTAAGAAAAACCATTCATAGATTATGCAGCCTGCTTGTCTACCTAAACTTAAATTACCTAACAGGAGCCAATTAATAAATAGAAGTTGACCATGGTGACCATTTTGTAATTTATAGAAATATTGATAGTAAATTGCTACGTTGTACACTGGGAACTAACATAGTATTGTAGGTCAGTTACACTTCAAAAACAACAAAAAAACAAACAGAAAAAGACACCAAATTTGTGGTTATCAGAGGCATAGGGTGGGAGGAGGGAGAATTAGATGAAGGTGGTCAAAAGGTAGAAACTTCCAGTTATAAGATAAATAAGTACTAGGGATGTAATATATAACACGATTAATATAATTAATGCTGTTGTATGTTATATATGAAAGTTGTTAAGTGAGTAAATCCTAAGAGTTTGCAACACAAGGATAAAATTTTTTTCTTTTATTTTGTATCTATATGAGATGATGGATGTTCACAAAATTCATTGTGGTAATCATTCCATGATGTATGTAAGTCAGATCTTATAACATTGTATTAGTTTAAGTTGCACAATGTAATGATTTAATATATGTGTATATTGTGAAATGATTACCACAATAAGTTTACTTAACATCCATCACCTCACATAGTTATACATTTTTTTCTTTTGGTGAGAGCTTTTAAGATTACCTCTCTTAGCTACTTTCAGATATATGATGCAGTATTGTTAACTATACCTACCATGCTGTACATTATATCCCTAGAACTTATTTATCTTATAATTGGAAGTTTGTAACTTTTGACCACCTTCACCTGTTTCTGTCATCCCTTATACCCTGCCTCTGGCAACACTGAATCTGTTCTCTGTTTCTGTGAGTTTGGTTGTTTTGGAATCCACGTATAAGTGAGTTCATCTGGTATTTGCTTTCTCTGACTTATTTCACTTAGCATAATGCCCTCAAGGTCCATCCATGGTGTTGACAATGACAGGACTTCCTTCCTTTTAATGGCTGAATGATATTCTATCTTATACACACTAATGCACGCACACACGCATGCACAAACACACCACGTTTTCTGTATCCATTCATCTTTTGATGGGTATTTCAGTTGTTTCCATGTCTTAGTTGTTGTAAATAATGCTGCAGTGAACATGGAGGTGCAGACTCTCTTCCAGATATTGATTTTCTTTCTAGAAATGGAATTGCTGGGTTATATGGTAGTTATGTTTTTAATTTTTTGAGGAACCTTCATACTGTTTTCTGTAGTGGCTGAATCAATTTACATTTTTACCAGTAGTGCACAAGGGTTCTCTTTTCTCAGCATTCTCTCCAGCACTTATTTGTTTTCTTTTTGATGATAGCCATTCTGACAGGTGTGATGATATCTTTATGGTTTTGATTTACATTTCCCCAATGATTGGTGATGCTGAGCATCTTTTCATGTGCCTGTTGGCCATCTTATGTCTTCTTTGGAAAAATGTCTATTCAGATCCTCTGCCCACTTTTAATTTTTCTTTTTTTGATGTTAACTTGTATGAGTTCTTTGTATATTTTGGATACTAATCCCTTGTTGGATATATCATTTGCAAATATCTTCTCCCATTCAGTAGGCAGCCTTTTGGTTTTGTTGATAGTTTTCTTTGCTGGGCAAAAGCTTTTTAGTTTGATGTGGTTCTATTTGTTTACTTTTGCTTTTGTTTCTCTTTGCCTGAAGAGACATACCCCCCAAAAACTGCTAAGACTGATGTCAAAGAGCATATTGCCTATGTTTTCTTCTAGTTTTATGGTTTCAGGTCTTAACGTTCAAGTCTTTTTATCCATTTTGAGTTTATTTTTATATATGGTGTGAGAAAGTAGTCGGTTTAATTTTTTTTTTTTTTTTTTTTTTTTGCACGTAGCTGTCCAGTTTTCCCAACACCATTTATTGAACAGGCTGTCTTTGCCCCATTCCCTTTGTCATAGATTAATTGCCCATACAAGTGTGGATTTATTTCTGGGCTCTCTATTCTTTTCCATTGATCTATGTGTCTGTTTTTGTGTGAGTACTATACTATTTTGATTGCTGTAGTTTTGTAGTATAGTTTGGCATCAGAGAGTGTATTATGGGATGTTTTTTAATTAGTGATCCAATCACCTTATTAGTAATTGGTCTGTTCAGATTTTCTTTTTTTTTTATGATTCATTGTTGGTAGGGTGTATGTGTCTAGGAATTTATCCATTTATTCTAGGTTGTCCAATTTATTAGCATGTAATTGTTCATCATAGTCTTAAGATCCTTTGTATTTCTGTTTTACCAGTTGTAATGTCTATAAATAATATTTTAATAATTGAAAGTGTAATACAAATTTGATCTATTTTCTAGATTTAAACAAGTCTCTTGAGTGGTGTTTTCTCACCGATGGAGAATTACTTCCAAGCAGAAGCTTACAACCTGGACAAGGTGTTAGATGAATTTGAACAAAACGAAGGTGAGAATTTACTTGATGACCCTGTTTGAATGTATTTATGATATAGAAAATGTGGGATTATAGGAGGATGCAGTACTTAAAAAAAAGAAAGGAAGGTCCAATGCCTCAATAATGATAGTATTATATATTAATATTCAGAGGAAGAACTAACATTTTTGTTAGCACTAACTGTGTGCCAGATACTATGCTAAATCATTCACATGGATTATATCATTTAATCTTTAAAATAATCCCATGAAAGTAAATCTTACCTACATTTTACAGATGAAGATAGAGGCACAGAAAGGTTAAGCATCTTCCCCAAGTTAGTTTGTTCATAAGTGCAGGATTAGAATCCAATTTATGGTCAGGAAAAGCTTTAGAATGTGTGATTGTATTTCCCAAGTTAAGAAAATAGCTTCTTTCATATTGATTGACCAATAAAGCAAGATCCATTTTAAACCTAATTTTAAAAGATTTACATTTTTAAGTATCTACCAAATGGTTAATTAAATTATATATTCTCAAGGCCCAGTCAAAAAATGTCTGCTAAAGATTCACTTCATTTAGGGAATTTTCCTTAAATTCACCTTTCAGTATGACTAGAATGTGTAAGCCATAATTAAATATCTGTCTTTCACTTTATCCTGCTTCCCTGGTGTTCTTGATTTCTAACAGAAAATGGCATATAACAAGTTTACAAAGTGATATATTTCCATCTAAAGCCCATGATTTTAGTAGTAGTCTCCAAACCTTTACTATATCTGGTTATTCAGGTTGTTCTTTGATAGCAGTTGGGAAGAGAGATTAGTTTTGATTTTGTTGTTTTGGGCCTATGCTAGAGCAAGCATTAAAAAGATATGTGCTCATGGGGGTAAGAAGGGAGAAGAAAGATACCTGGAATGGCCTGCTCTTACATTTTACCATTGATGACCCAAAGCTAACCCGTGACCCTAGCCTAACTCCTGATTCATGTAAACGTGAAACCGAATCTTTTTGGATTTTATGGGATCTAGGTGGGCTTTATACATACCAAGGTGGAAGGTATATTATCCTCTTAGTTTCAGTCATTTATACAAGTATTTTCTCAATCCCTTCTTTGGTTTGGCCCTATCACAGTTATTTGTCATCTACACAAATGCTACACCTAATCCTGTGAATACTATTCTTCTAGAATACCATTCACTCTCATTAATAAAATTATTTGTTCTTTACATCAGTCTTTTTGTGACTTCTGTAGATTCTAGTAGGGTATTTTGTATATAGTTGATTTGCAGTACATTTTTGTTGAGTCAGTAAAAATTGTCATTTTAGTTTGAAATATAGCATTTGCTTACCAAAATAACTCCTTTAGAAGGAGAATAATTTCAGAAGCCAGCTTGTTTGTAACTATGCTCTTCATTTGTTTTCAACTATTTTTTAAACATCTCAGTACCAGTTGTATTAAAACTACCACCTCTAGCCTGGTACCTTTCCAAATACATTTTTTTAAAAGTGTTTTCTCATTTCATGTTAATTTCCTCCTTTAAATGAAAAATGTACCACACACAAACTGTGATGACATTAGATAATTAACATTATACCCAGTTGGTGGTTAAATAGTGAAATTTTTAATACATGATCATTTCTGTTTGAATATTATTAAATATTCTTATAAGAGGCAGTGTTTCTTTTTTATTTCTGTGAACCAGCTTGGAAATACAATTTCTTTTTTTAAAGGAAATACATGTTACCAAATCTCAAGTCTCTGCTAGCCCAAATTTGGTAAACTCAGGATTTAACATTTAACACTCAGAGCATATTAAGCCCATTCTTCATGCAGTCTGATTTTTTATGGCCTTTACAATCTGACCTTTCTAGCTTCTTTTCACTACTTTCTTACACTAATTCTTTTTTCAGCCCAAACTGATTTACTTAATTGCTTTCTCAGATTGTTGTGTTTGGGGCTGTACTTTTACTTGTTCCCCTCTTACGAATGCCCTGTTTTCCAAACTTTTTGTAAAATTGTCCTTGAAGCCCAGCCCATTTCCTCCTGCTTTCATGAATTCAAGCTTGCTGCCTCAGCCTGTAAAATACCTTTGTCCTCTCAATTTATTTTCTACTACTACATAATAGTTTTTGAATACTTATGCTATTCTGTACTGCTAGTTAGCGATTCATGTGTATTGTATCTATTTCTTATTTTTCCAACTAGATTATATACTTCTTGGAGCTATCATTTAATCTCAAAGTCCACCCAATGCTTTTACAGTGGTAGATACTCACATAGCATATATTTATGGTGCTACAATAAATATATGCTACCTACTACATATCAGGCGCTGTGCAAAGCAAGGATTTACATTGATGGAAATAAGTGGTTTCTGCCTGAAAAAGTCAGGTAAATAAACCATTGCAATGCAGTGTAATAAATGCTTTAATAGAGATATGAACAAGGTGCTAAGGGAGCATTAAAGATTTATGAGAGGAAAGCATGTCTGTATAACTTCAGGGCTGTGATTATCATATTTACTATAGGAAAACAGGAAAAGCAATAAGTGCATAACTTCTTATTTCTCTAATTAGACACATAGCACAATAACTTGGGAAAATGCCATCATAGTTATGATCTATTAAAAAATAAACAGAAACATTAAATGAGATTATGCTTATTAGTAGAATATAAGAAGGTTGTTTTAATATGGCAAATGATACTTTCTGCCAAATTTCCTCAGATAATAGTGTAAATATGAACCTAAATAATAATGTATTGTGACATGGTTATAAGCAGAATTTCACACGCTGTAACAAACTTTTTAGCTTATTATTGTGGGCAAATTTCAAACATATACAAAGTAAATAGAAGAGTGTAATAAACTCTAGTGTACCCATTACCCAACTTCAGCAGTGATTGACATGCTGCCATTTTTCATTTATATATCTTCATTTGCTCCTCCCTGCTTCATTGTTATTTTCTACAATTTTTTGAAGATAAAATTTATACATTGAAATGTGTAGATCTTAACTGTACAGTTTTGACCAAGAGATATATCCATGTAACCACATCTCAGTCATGATGTAGATTACAGAGCATGCCATCTCCACAGAAAATTCCTTTGTTTTCCTTCCCACTCAATTACTGTATCCTCATTACTGTTCTGATTTTTCTTCCACCTTAGATTGGCCCCCTACCCCATGTTGTGCTGGGCCAGTCCAAGGCCTTCCCCATTATTGCCCTCCCCTCCCCAGCCCCAAAGTACAGCCTGGGGGCCACTTTAATTATGCCAACTAGATTGAAGTAGAATTCTTTTGTTGTTTGGAATGTTCTGAGATATTACCATTTGGTGATATATAATACAGGGAACAGTCTTAAATGTATTTTCTTATCCTTAGCTAGAAATTAGAAACTTCATACCCTAGGAATATTCTGTTTTCACATATCCTAGGAATATTTTAATTTCAGGGCATATTTGCAAATGTAGTTGATTAACTTAGTCCTAGCCTTATCAGTGTTACCAGCAGACTTATTATAATTATTTATTTTTTCAGATGAAACCGTTTCTCCTATTTTATTGGATACAAGGTGGAATAAGATTCTAGATCCCCCTTCTCCCCGACTGTCATTTAACCCTGCATTGGCCAGTGTGAATGAACCTACAGTTTCTGAGTCACAGCCACAGCTGAAAGTCTTCTCCCTGGCTCATTCAGCTCCTCTTAACACAGAGGGAGAGGACCATTGTGCTAATGGACAGGACTGTAGTCTGAATCCAGAGACCAACACAATGTGGATTGATGAAAATGCGGTTGCAGAAGACCAGTTAATTAAGAGGAACTGTAATCAAGATGATCAATGCGGTACTGTCGAAGTGGGAGAGAAGAAATGTGGAAACCTTCCTTGTCTGCCAGATGAGAAGAGCGTTCTTGTTGTAGCCGTCATGCATAACTGTGATAAAAGGACATTACAAAGCGATTTGCAGGATTGTAATAATTATAATAGTCAATCCCTCATGGATGCTTTTAGCTGTTCACTGGATAACGAAAACAGACAAACTGATCAATTTAGTTTAAGTGTAAATGGGTCCACTGAAAAAGATATGAACTCAGAGAAACAAATGGATCCATTGAGTAGACCAAATGCAGAGGGGGATTCTGTTAAATACATATGTACTACTTCATCTGATAATCTAGCCAATGTCTGTACCCCTTCACAGTTACAGGATGATGAAAATATAGATAGAGACCCCACCATGTCTGTGATTACAAGTTTAACACCAGATTCAGTAATCTCATCCCAGGGAACAGATGAAGGTCCTGCTGTAAAGCAAGAGGACTCTACACCAGATGAGGTTCTCACTGGCAAAACCAGCTCTCCTAGGACAGATCTAGGGAGTCCAAACTCCTTTTCCCACTTGAGTGAGGGAATTTTGATGAAAAAAGAGCCAGCAGAGGAAAGAACAACTGAAGAATCCATCCAGTCTGGTTTACCTTTGCTTCTCAAAGCTGACATGCCTAATGGGTCTGGCAGGGATGATAACGGTGAACAGTTTTCAGATTGCCTTGTGCCTGGTGAAGTTAGAGCTGACGAAAATGAAGGCTGTAAACATGAAGAAATTCTTGGCACTACAGAACTTCTTAATATGACCGAGCATTTCTCTGAATCTCAGGAGATGATTAATTGGAAATTGACTAAACCAAACAAGATGAATGACAGCCAAGTAAATAAAGAAAATGAGAAGTTTCTGCACATGAATCAGCCTGAAGATACTTACGATGATAGTGGAGGAGAGTGTGATAGAATGGCAGAAGCAGGTCTAGATTTAAAACAAACTTGCATGAATGAAAGTGAAGGATGCGATTTCTCCACTGTTATGGATACACCAGCAGCAAATTCACTATCTAACTGTTGTGATTCCTATGGAATGCAGAGCCCAGTTGTTTGTTTTGTTCCAAAGACTTTACCTTCCAAAGAAGATTCAGTAACAGAAGAAAAGGAAATAGAGGAGAGCAAGTCAGAATGCTACTCAAATATTTATGAACAGAGAGGAAATGAAGCCACAGAAGGGAGTGGACTACTTTTAAACAGCACTGGTGACCTAATGAAGAAAAATTACTTACACAATTTCTGTAGCCAGGTTCCATCAGTGCTTGGGCAATCTCCACCCAAGATAGTAGCAAACCTGCAATCTATCAGTGTTCCTTTTGGTGGTGCAAGACCCAAGCAACCTTCTAATCTTAAACTTCAAATTCCAAAGCCATTATCAGACCATTTACAAAATGACCTTCCTGCAAACAATGGAAATAATATTAAAAACAAAAATGATGTTCTTGGGAAAGCAAAATTAGGGGAAAACTCAGCAACCAATATATGCAATGCCTCTTTGGGAAATATCTCTATCGCTGATACAAATGGGGAACATTTAGAAAGTTATGAGTCTGGGATATCCAGTAGACAGTGCGTTGCATTACCTCCAGAAAGCCCAGATAATGATCTCAGAGCTGGTCAGTTTGGAATTTCTGCTAGAAAGCCATTTACCACTCTGGGTGAAGTGGCTCCAGTATGGGTACCAGATTCTCAGGCTCCAAATTGCATGAAATGTGAAGCCAGGTTTACATTCACCAAAAGGAGGCATCATTGCAGAGCATGTGGGAAGGTAAGTTGGGTGTATCAGCTCAGGAATCTGGCGTGTGCATTTTGTAATGCTCAATTAGAAATTAATAAAGGTAATATAAGGTGAACATACTTCTCCTTGAGATGACATCATAAATAGTTTTTGAGCATGCAATTCTAGTAAATTTCCAAATGAAAAATCACCTCGCTGATTCTTAGTGTTTATATAATTTTTTTTTGTTGTGAAGATTTAAGCTGAATCAGTTTTAATGAATAGATGAGAACTGAGGAAGTGGTAACTTTGGTTACTGTATTGATACTTGGTTAATGGAATAGCTTGAAATAAGGAAGTTATTCTTTTGATTTAAGAAATGTTTGTGATTGACTTCATATTTTTTAATTCTTGAGTAATTGGATATTATACTTAGAATCCATCCCAATTTTTGCTATAGGATTTTTGCCATTGTACTAGACATTCTGGAACTTTTGGTACACATATGTATTTTTGTCTTTCCCCCCCATATAACTTTGATACAAAAAAGAGTTGAAGACTATAGATCCTTGTGACAAGGTTATAAGAATAGGTGATATTCCTTAGCTCTCCCTAAATTCTGTTAGCTAGTACCACATCAATATACTAGTCCGTTTTTTAAACAAGAACTGTAAACAAGGAGGAAATGGGATTTTGTATTTTTAAAAAGAATGTAAGGTTTGGTGTCAGTTCTGGATTTGAACTTCAGCTTTGTTACTTTTAACTATATAACTTTATTAAGCTTTATTTTTTCATAAAAAATGAATCAAAAGATAATTTTCATCGGGCTGTTGTGAAGATTAAATGAAATTACATGTAATAGTAAGTACTCAGTAATTAACCTCTACTTCCCTTCTTGCCTGATTTATTGGTCTGTCTGTATTAATTCAGTTGACTTGAACTTCAAGGAACAGAATATCTGGCCCTCAGTTACTTAGACAAAAGTAACATTTATTTCATATAACAAGAGGCCTGAAAATAGAGACTCTGTTATGTCTGGGTGTAGAGTCAGGATCACTGAAGTTCTCTTGGCCTTTCCCTCGTGGTCTCAAGATAGTGGCACAGCTTGAAGCATCAAGTCCAACCTGACTACTTCCCAAATGCAGAGAAATTGGTTGGTGGCAAAAGAGCCTATTCCTCTTGCTGCCCTCTCATCAGGGTAGAAAGAATCCCCAGCAACTTCTTTCAATTTATTAGCCAGTTCTAGACCACAGGTCCAATTTAAACCAATGACTGACAACAGGGAACAGGATTGCCAGGATTGGCTGAGATCAATCATGATTCATCCCCTGGGGCTGAGCCCAGTGTTGCCTCAACAAAAGTGGGATTCTCTTAATAAGGAAAAGGGGGAGAATGGTTCCTGGGTGGGCATTCAAAAAGGGCTACTATAGGGTCCTAGAACAAAAGCACCAAATGATGGGGAGCAGAAAGTAGTTAAAGCTGAAACTGGGCTGTTAGTCTCTGATTATTAAAATTTGGAGAAAATAATGTGTCTAATTCCTAAATATTTCGCAGTCTGAAGTAAACCTATGGTCAGTAGCCTGAACAGTTTTCTGTTAGGGGGTTAGAGTCATCATTTTTTCGTTGTTCTATGTTTAGCTTACTGTGTATAACACTTTCAGAAATTTTTGCTTGTTTTTTAAAAATTTCCTTCCTATTTATTTATTTATTTAGGCTGTGTCGGGTCTTAGTTGTGGCACACGGGATCTTTTGTTGTGGCGGGTGGGCTCTTTGTTGTGGCATGCGGGCTTCTCTCTAGTTGTGGCATGTGGGCTCCAGAGCACGCAGGCTCAGTAGTTGCGGCACGTGGGCTCCAGAGTGCACAGGCTCTCTAGTTGTGGTGTGCGGGCTCTCTCATTGTGGTGCATGGGCTCCAGAGTGTGCAGGCTCAGTAGTTGTGGCATGTGGGCTCTCTAGTTGTGGTGCGCAGGCTTAGTTGCCCCGCGGCATGTGGGATCTTAGTTCCCCGACCAGGGATCGAACCCGCATCCTCTGCATTGGAAGGCGGATTCTTAATCACTGGACCACCAGGGAAATCCCAAAATTTTGCTTAAGCAAATAATAAAAATGCTTTTGTTCCAGACCAGCATATACAGATGTAATGACTAAATAGGTAACTTAGGTGGATTCAGAAAGAAAATGGGGCAAAATGCACATAAGCTGAAAAATTACATGGAATTTTTGCTGAGTGGAATTTGCAGAATTTATAAATTTATGGCTTCATATGGATTATGGATTCATATTCCATCTTTTTTTCTTTTTCCATCTCCATTTTCCTCAGGGATGTTGTAGGATTGTTGAGGTAATGTCTGTAAAAATCCTTGAGCTCCTCAGAAGAAAGGGGCTTATAAACGTAGCTATAGTTTTTCTAGATAGTAAATTAATCAAATTATACTTGGAATTTAGCTAGAAAAATACCCCAAGCAATGTGATTTTGTAAAATAATGTTTACTGTTGAAAAAAGAAATTTAGTTTGTTCCATTCTAATATATCTACTATGCAGTTATTTCCAACAATTTCTTTATTTAATATCTATAGCTAATAAATTCTCTTTACTGTAACAAGCATATATTAAGCATCTAATATATGAAAGGTTCTGGGCTAGCTACTGGAGATTCAGGTATACATAAATTGGAATGTATGACCTCATAGAGTTTATAATCAGAGGCACTGATTTCAGTGTGTGGGAGAGGAGTGTCTGGATTTCCTGTAGTTTTTCAACAATGCTAAAAAAAATCGTTGTGAACTATTGACCTGAGTAGACAAACAGACCATCCCACAACAATTTATAATACAGTGTATTAAGAGCCAGTTATGTGTGCTTTATATTCATTCCATTACTGTCTTGTAGAATACCCATTACTGTCTTGTAGAATGGGTGGTTAATTTTTTACTATTTGACAGATCAAGAATTAGAGGCTCAGAGAGGTCAAGGAATATGCCCAAGTTCACACAGCTTGAAAGTACTAGAGCCACCTTTAAAGCTAGGACTCTTTCCTTCAGACATACTGCTTCTCCTAGCATCTCTCCTCATTCATAATAGCAGTATGAACAAAATGCTTTAGGAATGTTGAGAAATGAGAGCTTAATTTTTCCCAGAATGGCAGAAGGAGTCAGGAAAATCATGATACAAAAAGTGACTATTTGGGACTTCCCTGGCAGTCCAGTGGTTAAGACTCTGCACTTCCACTGCAGGGGGCGCAGTTTCCATCCCTGGTCAGGGAACTAAGATCCCGCATGTCTTGTGGTGCGGCCAAAAATAAATAAATAAATAAGTGACTGTTTGGAGGAGGAGATATAAGAAAGTGGATATAATTTATGGATCACAGTTCTAAAGTATGTGAGGAAAATGGGATCACAGCAGAGCACAGGTGGAGTATTAGCAGTAGGGAAAGGGAAATCATCTTACAGGAGAATGGGCCATGATAAAAATTCACTTGAATATAGAAGGAGTTAACAGAAAATTGTGGGAAATTATTTAGCAAAGCATAGGGCCTATATCCAGGTCTTGATGAGTAATAGATATTATACTTGTTACAACATTCATTTATCTTGGTATAATGTCATTAAGAAGAATATAAAATAATTATGTTGAATTTATGAAAGTGTTAAAATACTGCAGTTTATTTCTATATTGTTGTAATGGACATCAGGACATCTGGATCCTATTCTTGTCTTCATTGTTAATTGGAAAACTATGTCATACTCTAAAATGCTCAGCAAATGTGAGTTTTATTTTATGATTTCACACATTATTAATTTAGATAATTGTTCCATATAGCAGTGTAATCTCTACTTCGGCTGTATGATAGGTGATAAATTACAGAATAGAAAGAGTACAGAGGGGAGTTCCCTGGTGATCCAGTGGTTAGTGCTCAGCCCTTTTCACTGCCGTGGCCCCAGGTTCAATTCCTGTTCAGGGAACTAAGATCCTGCAAGCCGCATGGCGCGGCCAGAGGAAAAGAAAAAGGTACAGGGAACTCCCTTCCAGAAAGGTGCCCTCTAAGTTCAGATGATCACTGTTATTATATATCCATAATAATTTCCTAGAGAAATCACTGAATCTAGCAGAATATGGTTATTCATTCTCTGTCAAGTTCCATTTGCCCTGAATATTTTGACCCTTTTTTATTTGATTATTTGACTTCAAAGGCCTAAGAAAAGCTTTTGAGTTTAAGAGTACAGGAAAGAGGTTTTTGAAAGTGGAGAAGAATTTTTAAAGGAAAAGTTTTTTATTTTTTATTGGTCATTCACAAGGCTTTATCACACTTTATCCATTACTGCCACTTATGTGGCAGGTTGTTGCTTATGAGATGCTAGCTGGTTAATGACTCTTCTGTCTACTGAAGTAGACATAAGAATAGCCTTTAAAGCAAAAATTCTTGAACCGATACTTACAACATAGAAACTTTGTTTAGGATGGTGTGAAAGATGAGAGTAACATTTTTTTTTAACACTTCCACTTTATGCTAGGCTTATCTGGTCTAACAACACAATTCTCTGAGATACAGTTACAGGGGAGAAAAATGTGCCTCAGAAAGGTTAGGTAACTTGCCTAAATTCTCAGAGCTTATAAATGAGAGTGCATGGATTTTAACACAAATTTATCTGACTCCAAAGCCCTTTGCTCTTTTACTACACTGGACATAGCAACAAAATTTATCTGTATTTGGATTGCTTACTAGAAATATAAGTCATGGTCTTTGGGTGACCATCAGTTTTGGAGTGGGAATTTGAAAGGAAGACAAAATGCTCAGTGATTGGTGCTATCAGTTGATGGGGGAATCTAGCAAAGGTAGCAGGATTTTAGGTTTTACTTCACCTATCAGGTCTTGAACTACAAATTAGGAAAAGAACAATATGGGTGCCAAGTCCTGGAATAAGGAGAGATTTAGTGACAGTAATATATACCACTCCAGTTTACTTACTATTTTTCCACATTAACTGACTTTAAAAGTAGAATTCAAAATAGATGAGTTTTTTTTTTTTACCGTGTTTGAATAGACGGTCAT